CTTCATTTCCGCGCCTTTCAGCATCTCCGTTTTCTTTGACTAGATGTCCTCGTATCATTTCCCCTTTAGCTATCGGAGGTGCTTGCAAAATCTCGCTGTGCTTTTGTGTCAGTTCAAAGGCAAGTGACCAAGGTGGATGGTGCGGTCAAAGCGTGAGGGGTCTACTTGGTTGGTTGCGTCTGGTATGTCTCCAATGACTGCCGTCTTGTTCCACACCGGCTCCATGTCACTCGAACTTTATACCAGTAAGGCCTCTAGATCAATATCCAGGAACATCGGCTGCCAAGGTTCAATTTTTATTGGACTGAAGCGAAGGAACAGGTTCAGAAAACTCTTGTATGCACCCGCGCTACTGAATATTTCGCTGAGAAAATTCTTGGGGTGATCCAATGGGCTCTTTTCCGATGACTAGAATTCTGCACTGGAGATCCCACAACACAAACGACGGCGGACTCCATGTTAATCTAATATTTGGGTTATAATGATAGCTGACAGTTGATAGGTGATAGCTTCGATTAGTGGCAATTGATAGAATACAGCTGCAATCGGCCAATGATTTTATGGGCAAAAAAGGTTCCTTTTTGTGGCGTCGTCATTTGTGTTGTGAAGTCTGCAGTGAAGACGCACCTGGCCGTTGGGTACAAAGGGGGGAGCGATCAAGAAGTGAACATTTCTTCCATCGATTTCATCTCCCTTTGATGTATTTTTTTGCAGGTGCTCGAAGACAACGATTATGGTCGTAGCGTGGATTGGTGGGGTGTTGGCGTGGTAATGTATGAAATGATGTGTGGCCGATTGCCATTTTATTCACGTGATCATCAGAAGCTGTTTGAATTGATAATGGCATCCGAGTTACGATTTCCTAGCAAACTTAGTGCTGAAGCAAAACAGCTACTAGCTGGACTGCTGTTCAAAGATCCTACTCAACGGTAGGTTTTTTGAGTCATTTCCTGCACAATTACACCGATTTGAAGTACAATGTTTAGCTTGGGAGGTGGACCAGACGACGCTTTGGAAGTTTGCCAGCAACCGTTCTTCAAGCCTATTGATTGGGAAAAGTTGTATAGAAAAGAGATCGAACCCCCGTACAAACCGTCAGTTCAAAGCGAGACGGATACGAGCTATTTCGATAAGGTCAGTTTGCAATGTTTTTGGTGGTAGATATTCTTGATAATTGGTCGATTTTTAGGAATTCACCTCGGCTCCCGTCCAGCTGACCCCTCCACCTGCCCGATCCGACCTTTTAGCCTACTGTGGATGAGTTGGATGAAATGCAGTCGAATTTCACACAGTTCTCATTTCACAACACTGTAAGTGAATCAGTGGACTTTGTGACATACATAGTTTATTTTGTGACATACATGTAGTATTTATTAGCTGCCTCTGGGGCAGTGCTTTGTTTCTGCTATCCGGCGGTGCAGAAAGTACTCCCCTTGTAGAAGAATGTAGAATGACTTTGCGCCCGAACTGAACTGATCGTGAGAAACGAGATGTTCGCTCAGCGGGCTTGCTTGTTTTTTGTTTGTTTGTATTCAGTTCTAATAAGTTGAATTTGTTTGTTTTGTGTCTGTAATGCTATATCCTGAACCCCCCGAAAAAGCGATATGCCCCAGATCATAATGAAGTTTTGGTCAGGGAACAGCATCCGAACGTAGAGTACCGCAATGGTATCACTGATTTCTGGTGTGGAACGGATAATGTTGACGACGAGAAGGGTTATGGACACCCTTCTGTTCGTCACGTCTTGATCAGTAAGTTACAGGTACTAGTTGGTGAAGTTACGCACATATGACCCGCCCCAACACGGAGGCATTTTGTGATCCTCTTTCGACTGGGTTTAAGGGCACAGGGGCACAGGGGGTATCAGAGACCGTGGATGTGCCGCTGAGATAAGACGAACCAGTTCGTTTGGCGTTCTGCTGGCTGTTGGGGAGGGGATGGTATTGCCGGCACGCGCGACGGACTACCAAGCTGGTCGTTCTATTTTTGTGTTCGTCTGCAAAAGCGCCTTTCTCATTTGATGCTCACCTCAGCGGGCTAAGCCTTAAAGAGAGGACGGACTGCAAGAGGAGCAGATGCTGCGGTATAACAGCCTGCGATTGCAATAGTAGTGTTTCTCGATAGCATTTGGGAAGTCAGTAGGCTTTGGATTAGATTGGAAGGGTAGTAGGCAAGTGCGGCGGATCTCTATTCTTTATGAGAAGGAAGTGTGCTCTTGTTCGACCCCAGGAATCAAAATGTATCCAATATAATCAGCTTTAGAAAGGAATGTTGAAGTCAGTCCACGAACTAAAGGTTGGGGACGTGAGAAGTTTGTGGATTCAGTCTGGGCCGTAACCACGTACCTTGAGAGCGTTAGCCAGTTTGGCGGTAGGCCGTTACATTCTTTTGAATCCTTTCTGTGTCGTTGACTCGAGTGGTGTGTGGTGTGTTTGTACCTATCTGTTGTGTCCAAGAATTTTCAAGGAAAAAAAACAAAAATTTGCGTCTTCTTGTTTTTTGCGGTCTTCAACTTTTACTTCAGTATCAGGTTGGTCGGAAAGCTTCCCGTCCCCCTCCCTCTTTCAGTAAGGATTCTATGACTGACAGGCTCGGAGATCAGAAGCATACACTGCCATCGTCCCGTCGATGCTAACGCTTGGATGTTTCTGATCTCTTTCCTTTCCAAAAGGACAGGAGCTGGGAGGAGTAAGTCATCAAGTACCTGCCTGACCCCTCCCGCATTTTCGGAGTGCGCGAATTGTGAAAGTGGTAGAAGAGGCGGTAAATAGGGTGGGGCGGGGAAAGGGCTGTAAGAAATTCAAGGAACAGCGGCCGGCCGTACGTCGAGGGTAGCCTGAGTAGCATTTCCTTGTGAGGTTACAGTAAAGGTCGCTTCTCGGTCCATGATTGTGATCCGCTGTCTGTCTGGTAATGATATTCGGTCCATCAAAACCCTAGCCTCACTTCTTGCGATTGGGTTCCTCTTGAACACTTCGGCCAGGGTCAATAATCCGTCATTCGTCGATGTGATCGTAGTTATGATTCCGGGATAAGGGTTCGTGTTTGGAATTTTGGAAGACTAGGGTAGGGTTTTGATGGACCGAATGCCATTACCAGACAGACAGCGGATCACAATCATGGACCGAGAAGCGATCTTTACTGTAACCTCACAAGGAAATGCTACTGAGGCTAACCTCGCGAGGTACGGCCGGCCGCTGTTCCTTGGATTTCGTCGTGGTGGTGGAAGAATTGTGCTGAATGAATTTGTGAGAAATATGTATGTAAGAATTTGCTGTCTCTGTAATTACCCCCCTCTCTACCCGTCGTCAATTTGGGATATGAGTTCGAGTCAGCCAAGTGGTGGAAGGTTGGACGACACTATCGACACCATAGAACTTTGGAGGGAGTCGAATAGAGTGACTTTCGAGGTTGGGGTTATGAAAATCTTCAAAGTGACTCTTTGCTCCCTTCCTTCTAACCATAAGGGATGGTCGAGTGGTAGACGGGGATCTCTAGGTTGGGTTGTTCTTGAAATGTTCACAAAAGAGTACGGGAAGCTTTTCGATCAATAAATATGTGTTTCTCTGTGAGTTGCAGTAAGTAAGCCCTTTTCGAGAAATTTCATGCGATCAGTCAAACCTGGTCGAGCTACAGTTCTGTTGACAACATTAGTAACAGAATTTCATTACAGCTCGACAGCAGTCTGCGGGAGGCAAGTGAAATGATGGAATGAACTGTACGAGATCAATCACTTACTCGCTATCCTTTTGTGGAAGTGCGTGGCTCAACTGTTGCTCCTATCGTGGTACAATTCTATTACCTCACTTTAGTGCAAGAAATGACACTGTTCCCAGTTGTATGTATTTCACTCGCTTGGGGCAATCCTAAAAATGGCTTGACCTCTAAGCCCCTCCAAGCCATGAGTTTTGTGGACGAATTGCAATATCTGGGCGTACCCGTACGTCGGTGTTTCTACAGGTTTATTTCTTTAGCGCCGGGCACTTTTCAGGTTTTTATTGCTGTTCTATGAAATATTCAACTTGAAAGTCAAGGTATTCAAAGCTTGACTCTAAAAATATGTGAACTATAAACACTTTTGTTCTTTGTTAGCCTGGCTGAGATTGGAATGCTTGACTCCGGGTCATACACCGCGTGATTAGGGACGCCACTAGTTATCATACCACCTCGAACCGATAGTCTTGGTACTGGATTAATAATGTTCCTTGGTTTGATTTGGTGCAGCAATGTGGTCGTAACTTCGTTTCCGGGAGCACACCTACCAAATATCGTACTAATCCTTTTTGGGAGATGGTGTCAGAAAGAGGGTTAAAGGCAGTGAACACGACGGCTGGAGTGTGGAGCAATTGATGACGTCGTTAGGCAACAGAGGCCTCATCGCGCTGGGTCCTTTAACGCCCTTCCACCAATTTCGCTCAATGACGTCACCAAAATCTCCGCTCACCAGCCTCGTGTTCACTGCCTTTAAGTCATGTTAACTATCTATCACTTGAAAGGATACCAAAAGAATACCCCTTAAACAGGAACATAACACATCCTCGCTCGGAACTAAGAATTCACCCTATGTACCCTCGAGAACAAAAGGATTATTAATTCGTAGGGTATCCTTGTCAAGTCACTATATTCACGTACCAAGGGAAGCTTTCCCATGGCCATTGGCCTAGAATGTTCCTGGTTTGATGGCAGAGCTAAAATTAATGGATAGCGTGATGGCAAGCGGCTCGTTTCAACAGCGCAGTGTTAAATTGACTGATCGATAACCGCGGCTAGGCGCCTGAGGTCCTATCTAAATACAATTCCACAGCGACTCTCTGCCTTTAAGGTTTTGTATATTGCTGCGATATAGTTTCAAGTGACCTTAGGCAGGATGGGACTGAAAATTGCTTAGATAAAACCAAAAGAAAGAGAAAGCGAGTGAAATGCATACGACGGTATGATTTCTGAACGGGTTCATTTTTAATTGCTATTTTTATGCTATCTTTTCACATTTATACATTGTTAAAGACTTTAAGATTACCAGATGGATTTGTTGTCGTTTGTAAAGTTATCTAGAGAAAGCACGGAGAGCATGGGAATGCTTCGTTCCATGCTTGCTGTTAAGATTTTTTTGTTTTGTTGTTTCGTTTCGGATCATTAGAATCATTCGAGAAAGCTGTGGATACTTGACATTAGCTTATACATATGGCTGGCCCCAGTTGGTTGTGATGATCATGCCCCGAATCTTTCAACTAATTATTGTATAATTTATCTAGTGGGGTAAGTCGTTTTTGAAAAGGTTCAAGAATTAGTTAAGATATATTTTTTATAATAATGTTTGTGGTTAGATTAACTCCGTTGTGTCCAATCTGTAAATCAAGCAATGTTTAGCCCCAGAGCTGTGCCATACTCGTCGTAGAAACGAAGTGGGGGGGGTTCCACCAGAAGGGCTCCCAGTTCTTTGGTGGTTCCTCTCCGTCCTTCACCTTTTTATGAATACCATTTCATGCAGTTGTCATTGAGAATGGCCACAGATTTCGAGGGTTGTGTGGAGCCTTAAAGGCAGTGGTCACGATGTCTGGAGGGCGGTGCTTTTGATGAAGTCATCGAGCGTCATTGGTAGACACGCTATGGGGGCGTGGTCGGGATCGCCCAAGGGCCTTTCGCCTGTGACGCTCTATGACGTCATCAAAAGCACCGCCCTTCAACCGTCGTGATCAGTGCCTTTGAGTGATTGTGGATTTAAAGTTGTCAGATGAGAGTACCGTATAGCGGTTGCTAAATATGATTCTGTAATGAGCAATAAATGTTTAACGCTTTGTTATGTCGAATGGAAATGTCAATAATACGGGGTGGTGGTGATGGTTTTTGGATTGCAATGTAAAGGGCGCACCATAAAATCAACTCTACCGAAATATTGTACAAATAAATAATGCTCAACATTTCACATATCGAGAAAAATGCTAAACACAAATGGTAATGTCGCCCAATTGAAGGAATAATGTCGAACTAAACGTGGGTGATCGAAATGGAACGAAGAACGAAACGATGACGACGGAAACGGGCGCAGAAGAGATGTGCTGTGCACAGGAAATCAGAATTGAGAGTCATCAGAACAATAGTAGGATACAGAACTGAACTGGGATCATCATCGGGAATGAGGGTGCAGGACTAGAACTGTTCAACGGTGCCGCTTTGAAGGAGGTGTAGATGATTCTGATCATCGTAGGAGAATCATTTGGTGAGAAGTTTATTGGCTCTCTTGTTCGCCGATTCGACACGAAC